GTAGCAGTAGTAGTGGTAGTCGTGGTAGTCGGGGTAGCAGTCGTAGTAGCAGTGGTAGTAGTAGTTGTTTTGGCAGTAGTAGCTGCAGTAGCTGTCGTATCTGTAGTAGCTGTGGAACTGTAGTAGCACTGGCACAAGTAGCAGCTGCAGTGGTAGCCCTAACAGTGGTATTTGTAGTACAAGTAGTAGTTGTTGCGTGGTGGTGAGAACTGTTGTTGTTGCTTCTTTGTAGCAGGAGGAGGCAGAGGACGACTGCGGAAGGAAGCAGAAGCAGCAGTAGCAGCAAACTTGCACGACGGCACTGTAGCGACTACAGTGCGGGTGCCGGATACCAGCACTGAGGGCCGCACCCATCCCTCAGAAGCCAGTGCTCCGGCATTTCGCTGAGCATGCTGAGGGCCTCTCTCGGCCTAAGTTGCTCAAGGCCCGTGCCTCCAGTGATCTGCGCCGTAGTACATCACACATGTATCTCCGCATGTTTCATAGCAAGAGTCTCAACAAAGGAATCGCCAGAAGTTTCGCTGAAGATCATGCTGGCAGCAGTGCTTCGCCTTGGCTGACGACAGCAGAGCAGCCACTGTCACCTGCACATATCTCGTGCATCCTCGCCTCGGTATGATTCTGGACCGATTCGTGGAGGAGGCGACGCTTTCGACATCGTCTGAATCGATCATGCTTATAGCGCGTGCTCGCCTTCGCAAGTTCTGCTGAATGGCCAGAACAGAATGCTTGAACACCGAGTTCGCTCTGGCCTAGGAACAGCATGGATGAAGGGCTCCTCTTCGCTGGTGACCATGCTGCACGCCCGCAGCGGCCTCCGCCTGCTTCAGCTCAGCGTGTCTGATGTCAGGCTGCACCAGTTCGCATCTCATTCTGAATCTGATGATGAATGCTTCCGTCCCGGTACACCTGCCACTTGAAACGGGCATGTCTTCATCGTCGTTCAGAACCATGCTGAGGACTCTTGACCTGCGCATGAACAACCGTGCAAAGCAGGCAAGCTCCTTGGAGGACAACCGGAGGTTTAAGGTGGGCCAGTGGAGCTACATGAGCTGCAGGCGCATCTGTCATCTGTGTTTTGGGTTCGAGAATGTTGACTGTGGACATATTGCCGAACTCACTTCATATAATTCTGCATGAGATGAGGACTGTGGAAATGATAGACAGGAAGAGAAAATGCCGACTGCCTGCCTGAGCCCACGTTGTGCAGGCATCGTCCTGAGTTCGAGGGAGTTCAAGTCTTGGCACCAGCACAATAGAAATTTTGAAAGTGCAGTAGCCAGGTGCAGCAGGAGGAGCAGCAGGAGTACTAGTAGTAGTAGTAGTAGTAGTAGTAGTAGTGGTAGTAGTGGTAGTGGTAGTGGTAGTAGTAGTAGTAGTAGTAGTAGTAGTAAGAATGTAACAGTAACAGCATGCGCTATTGGAACAAGCCATCGGCTCCAAGTCGCTCGGCCACCGTCGGTGTGTAGCCTTCGGAGGCCCAGCCGGCCCTGCTGGCTTGAGTGATCTTGAGTGATCTTGGGTGCGCATGACACTGACAACGCCCAGGCACTCAAATGCGGAATCGGGTTCTTCAGAAGCTCTGGCGCTTACAGCCCGTGACCTTGATCCCAGCATTGGATTTGCAGGCACAAGCTAAAAATGTCGGTGCAGCGTGGTAAAGTTCTCCAATGTCGGTGCGGCGCTAGTAACTGCTAGTTCGACGCTGCCACGTTGGGCAGGTTTTGAAGGCGGTCACGAGTATCTTATATGCAGCCTATCGGCGAACTAGGCGAGCGTTCATGATCCTGCTGCACTCGCATCAGCTCCTGCACAGATGACATCAAGACAGCGGAGAGACATGTGAGGTCTGGCAAGATGTACTTCACTCCTCCACTTTGACGAGCGCTCGGCGATTTTGCTTGCCGCCTGAAAGATTCTGCTTTCAAGGGCAGCTAGCTGGCCTTTGCACTGAGAACGTCTTGAACAGTTGTGTTACGATAATGAACTGAAAGTCACGGCCAGGCCTTTGGGAGGCTTCACGTAATACTGCACCCAGCACGTGCTGCTTGTCGCGCAGATCTCAACCTTACACATGAAAGGGATACTTCGGTTCTTGCATCAATTCAGGCACAACCTGGCCTTCGCATGGCCGTCAGACGTTTCGTGATATTAAGGATTGGCCGAGAAACGACTCTTGCCTCGACTTCCGTGCCCTCACAGCGCTGGTACCAAACGCCATCTCCGACCTGCCCGAGAGATAGCGGCAGGGGGGTTTTCCAGTACGACAGGTTACCTGAACATATGCACAGCCGATCGCTTATCGCCCACAGCCCATGCCTTCAGACGCGATGCCCAGGAAGACCAGTCATCATCCCCAGATATGTCCGACATGGCCGCTGGCAGGATTGCTGCAGGGAGCCGTGAAAAGAGAATTCCGCACCGGCGATGCTCATTCTTGCACAGGCTGCCCAGATGCTGTTTAGCCCATCTCGTAGCACTGATGTGATCATGTTACTGGCCGTTCTTCCATTGGAGAAAGAGTGTCGTGCTGCGGGCGGCTCAAGAGTTGAAGTATTCCATGCACGAGTCGCAATCCCAGGCCCACCGAAAACATCATACAACCTACCCTCCAGTGCAATAAAGGAAGGATTTACTCTGCAGGAAATATCATTGTCCAGTCATCCGAATTAGACACCAGAGCTGAGAAGCCGAGAAGTTGGGCACCTTCTGTGCCATCCAAGCATGCTGGTGAAGGTCAAGCCGTCTGACGTCGGAAGTGGCTCGTGCTTGCTTGCTGTGCTGCGTATGTAGCAAACTCGCACTTCTCAGTCCTGACAGACTCCACAAAACGTGCATGACAGAACAAATTCGGCCACCACCAACGGAGGCGGTATCTGTACAATGAAGACCGATTGTCAAATTCGGCGTTGGCCACATGCTCCAGATCAGTGATCAGAAAGGAAGACTTGTTCTAAGTAATAACTTTGCGATGCTGTAGCTTCCGGACACAGACAGAGGCAAGAGCCAAGCTTGAGCAAGCAAACAAAAAACAATGTGAGATGCTACTGGATCAGCTACCGCGCTGAGCTGCTGGATTCAAAGAAGCTGCTATGAGAAGTCATCAGCGTACTCCTCGTCTTCCTGCCGATGTACGAGTCACAAGACGACGAAGAGCATACACACTTGTACCAAGCGCATTGGGAAAGAAACTCCGGGCAGCTGATGCTGGCAAGCTGTGCCGGTGCCGCGTGAGTCGTTCCACGAGATCTCAGCAGAAACCCAGAAAGCCCTCGTTACGAGGCCACTTCCACCCCCCGCGGCTCGTCCTTGATGCCAGCGGCAGCGTCTCCTCGATCCAACTCGTCCAACTCCTCCTCCCCGAAATGGCCTCAGCTGCTTGCATGAACCTGCGCAGCAACCCAGGTCTGACGCTAGGGCCGTCGGAACTCGTAGCACTGGCTGCGATTGAAAACTCACCCCCTAGAACTGACCTAGCCAATTATTGCATGGCAGATTCAAGACAAGACCCTCAACAAACCCAGAGGGGTCGTGGTTGAGAGCCGGGATGCGGTTCACATCGCGCACACCCGCCTGTCTCCTTAGAGATGCTACAAACAAGTGGCCAAACAGCAAAACATGTGCCAAAGATGATCTGGCAAGCTTGCACAGGTCCCGTGCTGCACATCGTGTACTTTCATCACGGCTGGGACCACCGCAGAGCATTGCGAACGCGAAAGAGGGCTCTGCGTCGCGCCCGTTCGACTGTGTCGGCCTGGCATGTCCGGTAAGGCCAAGCCCGGTCCTTCTGAGCCTTCCACGCGACGCCTGCTGCATGAGCAATGGTCTGTTGTTGGCACGCTGGAGCATCATGTCGATGTCCTGTTCCATTTTCATGTGCGGTTCCGCGAAAGCCTCTGTCCCCTCCCGTCGGCCTTTCTCTTCTGGCTCTGGACTCTCTGCAGCCCGCGCCGCTTGTCATCCACCATGCGCTCGATCTTCTTTGCCATCGGTTCAATGGGGCCAACTGCCTCAACCAAACCACACTTCCAGCAACACTCCGATCGAAATGATGCAAGAAGCATGACTTGCCATACTAGTATGCACACATAGCCGGTCGTCTTGATCTGTATACTTCTGCCGTAGGCCTGCTTGACTCTTTCCTTCATTTCCTCGTCCACTGCCTGCGCCTGTCACTTCTGGCACACACTTTTACCTAAACCCTGTCAGCTTGAGACTCAAACTCCAGGTCCAGCTTGCAAGTACAAAAACTTGCGCTGAACGGTGACGTGGTGACTGCACTGCCAATGCTGCCAACCTCTACTAAGCCCTGTCTGATGGCCATCGTAGATGGGATGCCAGCTCCATCGTTTGCTAATTTACTTGCAGATTCTAGAAATAACAGCACCCTCCAGTCAAAAACCAGTCGAAGACCAGAAAACATCGGGCCGCCTGCTCCAGCTCTTCCCTTTCACGTTGCTCTTTCTCGCGTTTCTCTTGCAGCCTTCTCATCGTTGCTAGCTGACTGCTCAAGACCTGACGACGATCTGCAAGCTTCACAGGCCGCAGCAGCAAACGGAGAGTCTGGAAAACGATGAGGCACGAACTCTTGCTACAACTGTCCGCTAGCTGCTCTCGCCAGCACGAGGCCACTCAGGCTAGGCCAGGAAACTGAACTGCTTCGGATGTGGACACTCTACGAATCTCTACGAGGTGGCCTTTTGCGTGCTTCGCTGCTTGATGTCAGCGCCAGTCGCTCGAACTGCTCGCCGACCCCTGGCTTCTGTTGTGCCTCGCTCTGAGAAAACAGGCCAGGGCGAACTTGTTCAGCACCACCTAAGCAGCGACTTGCCTGCCTTGGGACTGCGGCCGGCCAGCTGCTCTCCGATGGTATCGCCAATCCTCCCCTGGATCCTCCGCATATCTGCGACATTCTGACACGAGATGTGAGAGTGCGGGTCCTTCGGCATTGGCGGCTGGCGAGTCTCGCTTCGTGAAGGTGTAAAGAAGACGAAGGGTTCCGGCTGGGTCACGTAGCGATTCAAATACTTTCGCCTCTCCAGCCTTTCAAAGGAAGCAATGCGCTAGTTCTTCGCGGTTCCAGGCACAACTGAAGAGCTACATTGAATGCGCACCGTGACGGTGTACAACAGATTGTCGTGCGGGCAGCAAAAGATGCAGGAGAAAAGCTAAGCCCGCAGCTGCTGCTGCATGTGTTCGTGGCGAGCGGCAAAGTCTGGCACCTGGACTTAAGACTTAGCTGCGACACCCCGCTGCTCAAGACTCACAGAGACTCACAGAGCGGAGCGGGCGCTGTCCCTTCCCCTCCTGCACCTCTGTCACTGCCGTCGTAGTTCGTGGTTCGGGCCGGCGCGGCGCCGAAGCACTGCGCGGTCGGGCGGCTCCGGACCGCGGCAGCGGGCTCCCCCTGGAAGCGGCTGTTCCGACATCGCCTCTTGCTGCCACTGCTGGGGCAGTGTATCCATACTCGGGACCTGAGCATCATAAGGGATGGCGCCACCGAGTATGATCGGGTAAAACCTCGAGCCGGTATCACTACAAGAAATCTCACATGAGTGTTTCGAAAAAATTTGGGACAGTGGCTCTGGCTATCATATCATGCACAGCCGCTTGTGCCGGGATTCAGGGGGAGCTGACAGGTCTAGGTGGGCAAAGCAGCATTCATAAATACATCGAGATGCAGACACACAATCCAGCGGACGGACAGACAAACAAACAGACAAAATGCTCTCATTGAATCACTAGCTCATCCAGTCACTCGCTCGTTCGGTTGGTTGGTCCATCGATCGTTGATTGATTCCCTCAGTTATTCCTTCTTAAGCCTGGACATATGCACACACATGCGTATAGAATTGTGCAGACATGCAAGGGGGGGAGTGGGAGAGAAAACGAAAACAAGGAGAGCTTCTGGGAGCTCAGATCAACCCAAGCAGGACCACACAGAAGATGCGAGACTCAGCTCAGCACTCTCAGATTCGCAATAGCATGGCAGGACCCTGAAAGAGACTATGACTATGGTGGCAAATGAAGACAGAGAATAGCAAACGATCAAGAACACAGAGAGAGAGAGAGAGAGAGATCCTCCTTGGCACTCCGATAACTGAGACGACTAAGATCGGCATACTCTTCTGAAGCCTGTGCGGTGGCGATGCGGCCTCTTTGTACCCCAAACTGAGTGGCAATGCTGTGTATGAGCATATAGGCCGGAGCAATGACGAGCGTGCTTGAAATTCTGCGAGTGCTATGGCCTTCAGAACTAAGGAAGATGATTGGTCAATGGAGCTTCCGAGCCGATCCCGCAGGAAGACTTCTTAGCCGGGTTTGAAACAGGGGCCAGACCCAAGCCGAGTTTTCTGCCAGCGCTGTCTCGGGAAGCCTAGGACAACGCATGCACTCTCCACACTGTAACGAGCTGCAACCCGACTTGTAAGCCGAATGTGGACCACATTCTACACGGAGGCGTCTGCGGTAGGCTGGGCAGATTTCTGAGGCCCAAGCCTGTTGGGCCTCGGAAGCCAGCCAGCGACGGGCGCTGTAGGGTTCCCCATGCCAAGGCCTGAAGAGAGGGACTGCACAATGCAGTGCAGCACAGTGGACGCTGGCAAAAGACTTAGACTCCACGAAAGACTTGTGCCACTGGCTTCTTTCTAGGGTTTTCAGTTCCGTCTCTTTGCCAGGCTATGCCGAATGACACCGAGCGAGCTCCAGCCAGGCAAGAACCGAACCGTTCGGGCTTGCCACTGTCCGAGCTCCCGGAAAAGTTCGATGCTTCCACAAGCAACCCTATTGGCCCTACTGAGGAGACGAAGGTCGCTAAGCCTCGATGGCATCCAACATTGGCAACCCCCAATCCGAGCCGGAACCGATGGAGCCACCGCGCATCGTGATGCTCGTAGCTCAGTGGCCAACCCCGCGCGGCCAGGCGAGCGACTTCCCTCCCATGTGCAGCAGCAGCAGCAGCAGAACTTCAAAGATCTCCAGTGATAGTCCCGCAAGGAAAAGGCACAGATGCCAGCGCACACGGATACACCTGGCCTGTCCGCGCTCCTGCTCCAGCCGGCCTCGGACGAATCAAAGCGTGTACTCTCGGCTTACCTCTGAAAGACTTCTGACGCTCCGCGATTCGGAAGCCATGTGCCGCTGTCGTCGCTATCGTCGATGATGGTGAAGCGGAGAAAGACAAAGAGGACGAAGCAAAGATGGGAGTGTCTAAGCTGACTCCTACCTTAACCTACCAAAACCTACTTTTTTGTAGGGTCCCTATAAATTCCATATTAGTGCTTATAATAAGAACCCACAAAAAAAAGTAGGTTTTGGTAGGTTAAGGTATTTCTGGCGGTTGAAGGAGCCGCGAGGGGAGAAGCTCGTTTCGGACACATTCGAGTCTCACTTTGTCCTCGTCGAAGAGTGAAGAGCACCCCCTGCAACCCGAAAAGCCCAAATGAAGAGGGGGAGTGTGCAGCATCTGAGTGCGGCATCTGCGTGCCGACACAATCAACGTGGGATTTGTTGACTGGTTGTGCTGAGCTCAGGACGGAGAGCCTCCATTCGAGGCCTGGGTCACAGACCGCTTGGAGGTGCTTTCGGCGCCGCCACAGCAGGACCCGCGCGGTAAGGAAGCGGAGCGCAGCAGCTCCAGGCTGCGCCTGCCGAGCAGATCTTCGAACGGTGGCCGGGCAGGGCTAACTGCCGCACTGAGCTGCCGACGATCGGCATCGAGTGTGTCTTGCCTCCCTCTCTTCCAGCAAGAGCTGCTCCTTTGCCGCAAACCGAGCTTCTGCCGTCAGCTGAACTTTACAGTAGGAAAAACCTGCGACCTGCCTAAGGCACCTTCAGGCGAAGCGGGGAGCTTTGCCGAAGCTGCGGCCATGGCGCATACATGGGTGTCGAGACGCGCCAAGGCACGGGCCTCGCCTCGGTTCGTGGAAAGCTCTGATGGCACTCAGGGACTCAGGGACTGCGCGGCGCCCTGCGCTGTGACTCTGCTTGGACCCAGGCCCGAAAAGGAGGCTCCTCTCGATCTCGCAGGACCGCCACACCTCGGGGGCCCTCGGCGGAGCGACTCCGTCTGCCCTGGCACCGAGATGCTGAGGGAAGTCAAACTGCACAGACTCCACAGCAACTGTCCTGCATCCGTGGGGTCAGCACCCCCACTGGAACAGGTTTGGCACGGAAAGGCAACACCTCCAACGTGTTGGGCAGTGGCAGTAAGTGCAACAGACGTCTTGCAACTGCTTCTCCAACCTGAAACTCTTCTTTCAAGAGTCCGCGCCGAAACATTGCTTCGGGTTGCTCGCGAATTCGCTCGCCTTGACCTGACTGCAAGAGCAACGACACGGGTCCAAGGCAGCGCAGAAGCTCGGGCCGCTTCGCTGGTCCCAGTAAGAGTCCCTCATCAAGAACCGAGGCCCTGCAGCGAGAAGCCCGACGCGAAGCATCCATTTCAATGTGGGGACTCGGGATTGCCTCCACCTAGTGTACATCAGCCCTGGCATACTAAGCAACGCTTCGCCTTGTCCGCTGTGACACCAGTTTTCTTGGGAGGCATTCACTCTTCAACCCATGCCCCTGCATGCCGTCACAACAGTGACGAAAAGCAGGGTTTGGCCAGGGACCGCCATGTTGCTGACGTGCCTTCAGCACTCGTTGGATGGTTGAGACCTCACCAACTTCCAGCATCATCCACACAAACCCTCATTAAGCACCCCCTCACTCGGTTACTAAACATAAGTCTGAGCCCCCGGACGGTGGAGGTCCCGGTCCCGGAGAGTCTGAAGCTTCGGAGGAGACGTGTCGGGAAGCCTCCCATGTGGTTCCAAGACTGGGATCAGGAAAACGACGGCAAGGGCGAATCACCTCTCCGGCAAGCGCACAGGTCCTTCACACAGGTGCCAACTTTGTAAATTGTTTTAAGTTTTTATCGAGGTCTAACCGACAACCGAAGTTAGGAGCTCTCCGAGAAGCGTGAGAGAAGCTTACGTCGAACGAGCAGATCGTCCTGCGTCCAGCGCCAGCCGTTCTTGCACGGAAAGATCGAAGCCTGAGAGAGTCAGCGAAGCGTGTACGTCAGTGCCTGCGCGACATTCTGCAAAAAATGGGCAGCGGCCATATTCAGCTTCTGCAGCGCGGATCCGCGCCTGCATTCACATCCCGTGCCTGCCATGTGCCTCCGGCACTGCAACCCTCAACGCTGTCCTCCAGCTGTTCCCGCGGTGACGATGCGGGGGGCCGACGAAGCACTGGACCTCGCCCAACATCCCGAATCAGCATTGGGCACACCGATCTGCACAGGTGCGCTAGCATGCGTAAAGCCAGACTAAATGTCTGCAGAAGCGCGCTGCTTCATCACCGGTGCGACTTCCCGATCGACTTTTGGCAGGAGCGACGCGTCATGCTTTGGATGCGGAGATGGCTTCGCATGCCCGGGTGACCAGAGCCTTCGTAGAGTTCGGTGCATTTCCGGTAAAGAGCCGGGAAGATGCGTCCTCGCAGATCTCTCCGGGCTTTCGGCGCTCATAGCCGTGAACATCGCGAAAGCTCATCCATGCTCCATAGTATGAGATGAAAGGTCCGACCTTGCCATCGGGTGGATGAAGCCACTTCGAACCAATCAATGCTTCAGGCCCGTGGCAGACTGCTGCTGCAAAGGGCGCAGAGTCCAGGATTGCAGTTACTGCAGGATCTTGCATCATGTAGTATGGACATTGGCCACCCGCTACAAAAACTCCGTCAAACTGTAATGATTTGTCCACCAGATTTGCTGGCATCGTCGGCAGCAGGCAGCAGCAGTCTTTCAGTGCACACATGGCATTACCCCATACAGTTTCTGATCGAACTTGTCTAATGCCGGAATCTGTTTCGGCACTGCGGCTGATGAGATGAACGTTGAACTTCACGTTGACCAGGTGGTCGATGATGGTGTAGGCCTGCACGGGCCACACGAATGGCAGCAGAGCTTAGGCATCATCCCATGAAGGAATCGGCCCCACGATAGGAAAATATCTGCCCTGCCTCGATGGGATCTGCCACGTCGTCCACGAAAAAAGCGATCCGCGGGGCCGAAGCATCTCCGCTCAGGCAGCTCCTGGGGAAAGCTTCCAGGCTGCACGAATGGCAGATGCAAAGGCAGATGCTAGGGGGCTGGGGGAGTTCCCTACGCAGCTCTCACGTCTTTGGGCCCTGCAGAACCATCTCGAGATTTACGCCCTGCAGCCCTGAGCTAGCTGCGGGGCAGGAGACCCTGAAACCACAATCAAAAACAGTAACTCTTCGGGTGTGGCGTTCGCAGCGATGTCGATTTCAGAAAGAAAGACACGTGCACTAGGGTCAAATGGGGCCAAGTAGCCCGGACATGCCGTCCAGCTTCGATGCATCGAAACAGAAGGCCGTCTCGGAACTGCCCAATCTCTGAACTCTTCCAGAGCTGGAGAAGCTGCTGTCCATTCCGGCTGGTAAGCCCACAGCGGCAAAGAACGGTTCCGCTGTGTCCTTTCCCCAGTAGCTGGCCGAAACCAGTTCCACCCCCTGCGAAGCAAAGCAGCACACTTTTGCTCCATCTGCGCTGGGCTGCAAACCGTTGATGGCCAAGAGATGCTCTTGTTTTGGAAAGACAGCAGCCTGAAATCCAGAAAAAATCGACCTCTCCTCTCCTATTGCCAGAATCACGTCCAATCCATGGCCGATGGTTGCAAATCGTGTGCCAAGCTCAAAATGTTTCTTGACAACTTGAGCAGCATCACCGTTGTCCGCCATGAGTGTTGCGTTCAGTGTGTGTGGCATCAGGCCACCTGTCAGAAATATTGTGGCCAGCTTGAACTTATCTCCGATCGGGATTGTGCCAGCATGCTTGCTTTTGGGATCAAACTGTTCCCTTGGGACTAGCGCCGGAATGCCTTCCTCAGTTGAAGAAGGAACGTAGTTCACTCGATGCCATATACGAAACCCTTCCCAACCTGGGTCGAGTCCTTTCTGCTCTGTGACATGCTCAAAATCATTCAGTGCAGTAAAATGCCACCCACCATTGAAAGGCGGGAGAGCTCCTATGAAAACATACTGTTCTTGGCACAACTCCAAGCGCTCCAACAGCATCCCAATCTGCATGCTGTCCCCCTTGAAGTCCACTAGGATTCCGTGAACTGGCCTTGACCAGTCAACTTGAGAATGCTGAAACCCAGAATAGAAGTGGTTCTCTACGCCCAGTCCCACACTCGTGGTCTCTTTGCGAGCTTTGAAGGCTTCAAAAAGCTCAGCCGCGGCAGGTTGCACCGGAGCTTTGCTGGCACCGATTCCATGAATCTCCATGACTCTCTGGGCCTCCTTCTCCAGCTCATCCATTTTGCCAGCATCCGACATGGCACGAAGAGCAAGGCCTCCTAGTTCCGAGGCGAGGACATAAAACCTGGTCTTGAGGGAGCGGCAAGTGAAATCCCTGAACCAACGGATCAGTCAGGTGCTTTATGCCCACACCCAAGGATGCACCCAACGGAGGCGAAGAGCCCAAGAGCAGCCGGGGGTCCGGGCTCCGCAGTGCTGGGACCGGGCCGTGGCCTCCTTGGCCTCCTTGGCCTCCTTGGCCTTGCGGCCCAGGCCCAGGCTGCCCGACCTCGGTCGCACAGAAAGGGGCCTTCGGGTTTGCCAGATATGCCAGAACTCAGAACCGTCATTTGGACCATGCCACCGAATGGTTTTGCATGGGCTTTCAGACACAACCTCGTTGAGCAACCTTGGATTCTTGGTCTTAGTTTCCTGCATGATGACACCCGGCTCCACACACGAGCTTTCCGGATCCACTCTCCGAGCAGCGCTAAGGAGATCCAAGACTCTGGCCTGAGGGCGCGAGTCTCCTGAACAAGTGGCTGCAACAGCTTGAGAGAAAGATGAGAAACCTTGCTGCACTCTTGCTGATACTGCTGCTGCCTTGTACTAATGCTTCCAGTCTTCTGTATGTCACTCCAGTTAGCGTGGGGATGTTGATGCTGGTTAGAGTGGCGATGATGGCCATGGTCATGACAGAAGAGCACAAGAGGATGGCGATGATGCAAGAGAGCCACGAGGACGGTGATGATGATGATGATGATGGTAATGATGGTGATAATGGTGATGGTCATGGTCATGGTGATGGTCATGGTGATGATTATGGTGATGATGATGATAATAATAATAATGATGATCATGGTGATGGTGATGATGATGTATGATGATCATGATCATGATCATGATCATGATCATGATGATCATGAGGATGGAGAAGATCATGATGAGGTGGAAGACGGAGATGCTGACGATACCGCCCTTTATAGGGACATGATTCTGAACATGATAGCAGAAAATAATGATCCGACCGACCGTTGCAGGTATCCCTGAAGCTGTTTGCGAGCGCAGCGAATGTTGCAACAACCAGAATCACCGCTCTGTGCCGCCAGCATGTCTCACGTGCTGCGACGGTGCCTCCCGGCTCGGTTCCGGAAGAACCATCTACGCGGACCTGTCGAATCGCAATAAGACATGTCTCATGACATGCAGAGTAGTCATCATCATAAGGCTCACCTTGCTGATCATCTGCAACAACACACTTCAGCAAGGCCACCATCGCCATCGTTAACGTCGTCAACATATCCTCTATCAGCCTGGCAATGACCATGATAATGGCGGTGTCATCATAACCATCTTGAATGAAGACAGGCAAACAGGTTGTGGTCGTAATGGTGGTTGTTGTGGTTTGTTTGGCTGTTGGCAGAGGGCGGGGAAAGGAGGGGACGCGAGGAGGCGATCGCACTGGGGCAGGAGCTTATGCAATTGTCTCGACTAATATTTGCATAAGTGCCTCCAGGACAGGCTCCTGAAACAAAGCCCGCAGTCGATCTGCCTGCAGACAGGTACAGTTTGGGAAAGCTGTGCGCGGCTCCGGTCGCGCCTCACGGTCCAGCCGCTGCTGGAGCTCTTGTGCACTGATGCCCTGGGCAGACAGAGGCAAGGCATGGGAACCCGCTTGCGGACTGCAAGCAGACTCCGCCTCAACAACAAACTCGAGGTCCAGCGAACCTCGCCTGCACACACGGTTCACATGCCTCTTTATGTCCTCCCCACTGTGACATGTTTTTCGCGAGGCATCGTTGCCTGATGCGTCCCAGTTGAATTTCGGACGCAGGCAGTCCGAGAACCTTTCCGGAACTGTCATCCATTTTTGCTGGCCACGAGTGGCCATTGATTGGCTGGGCTGCAGGCAGTCGATGCAATCTCCTGGCGACAGGGAGATTACCGCAGAGCTGCTGCACAGGCAGAGTTCCAGCTGTCGTCTTCTGGCGGGGTTACCAGTTTTGCATCGGCTTTCTTAGAACAGGCTTCCTCAGGAATTCTGCAAGTTAGCTTCGGTGCTGTGAATTCCACCTAGCCTCGCGCCAGTGTTGCAGCTGCGCTGCTGCATCTTCCCTCTCGAAGAATGCATCAAAATCCGTCTCGAGGCGGACACCCATCGAAGGCTGAACCTCGATGACTGTCTGCAGTGGACATGTAACTCCCTCGTCATGGACTCCGTGACCTGGACTTGCGATGGACCCTGAGAATGTGGCGCCCTCATCTGTGACGGATGCCGTCGCCATGGCAAACTACGTCAGCTGAAGTTGGAGGAAGGGCCTGTATTGTCGCTACAAGCATGTTCGCGGTGACTGACGCGTAGGAATCTTGTGTGTCCACAGTCTGTCAGTTCTGCTACCGGACTTCGTGCTGCTCAACGCTGGAAATCACATGGGCAAGCCAGGACGGGTGGTTTGCTCCAAGTCTGCGACTACCTGTGCTTTCCGGATTATGCCAGAAACTGCTACCTGGTACCTGTTGCTCTGCGACCTGGAACGCGAAATGGAACCGAGTTGCTAGATGATTTGCTCTCGACACATCTGCCGCGAGGCATTCACGTCAACAGTGCAGTTTCCGATTCCTCTCCGGCACCAGCAACCACAACCAGACCTGCCGCACGTCTTTTCTTCGCAAGGTGAGACTGGAGCATTATCATGGCAGCCAACAAGAGTGGTGCCGGGCAAATATAGCCACCCAAAGCGCCCACTATGAGAAAAATCATTGCCCCAATTTAGTTTAGTCAGATCTTCCAATTGGGGGCAAGCCATGTTTTCTCAAATGAAGCGCTTACATTTGCAGGGACCATGCCGAGGAAAATGATCCTTCAGCACTGATTGCAACCCCTTTGGTGTCAGCATCGCAACTGTGCGGATTTGTGCACATAGCCGTGGTCTTGCACCATGTTGCCATCACTATCATCATCTATCAACATTGCAGTATTGTTCAAGTGCTGCTGGACCGAGCGGCCGGTCAGTCCCCATTTTGGGGATTTTGGATGTTGGACAATCTAGGACCTAGGATGCAGATCACGTCACTCTGTATCCTTTATTCGGTACGGTACGCTGGTGCTTGCCCGAGCTTTTCGCTTCCTTGCAAAGTCTTGGGAAGTTGGAGTCACGCCAGTCTCGGAAGAATCTCCGGCACGCTTGCGTCCAAGGAGCGCTGCTCGATCCCGAGGCCCAACACTGCTTGCCTCTGTGTGTGGCCGAGCCCCGGCAACGGTCCTTCGTGCCCTGCCGTGGCCAAGGATTGGACGCTGGCGCTTCCTGCCGGTATAGAGTATAGACTTTGTAGCACACATTCGACGAGTGAGTATGTGTCTGCAAAACACAACATTGCAGATGGACAGCCGAGTGCTAAAAATGGATCGAGAGGCAGGTAGCTTGACGTTAAGGGGTCGGTTGCCCTGCTGCACATGGATCAAAAGAAAATATCAGGATCCATAATGTAGGCCACGCGGCACAGTAAACACGATGGGCATCTGCTTGCGTGCATTTGCCAGAACCGTGCGAAACTCCTGCGTTCAGGGCAGTTTACAACTGGAAGCAAGCACTGCCCGGCACATGCTGGACCGGATTCAGAAGCCTGTGATCCTGTCCTCCCGGGTGCCGACACTACGACCATTCACGGCCACGATCTCATCAAAGAGATGCCACCCCACGTCAGCAGCCTGCCAAGCTATCTATGCAACACTAAGCACAGGAGTTTCTGTTATCGACATGTCGAAAATGATGCCACTACCTCTGCTGAATTCAGATGTGCTTGTCCATTACACGGCCACAGCCCTCTCTACAGCATGTCAATAGTTGCCAAGTTGCGTGGATTTGCCCAGAATCTCTTTCAAGCCCTCTCAGACCAAAACAACGCCTGCCTCCGGGACATCGAAGTTGCTAACGACCAGCCCTTCCATCCGCAGACGAACGCCAAGCTTGTCGTCATTGAAAAGTTCTTTGACGAGGATCTCTACCTTGCGCTGAACAGGCCCGTTACCATCTTGGCTGCAAAGATCCAACAGAAGTTTGAGCCTTCCCTATGGGTGAAGAGCTTTTTGAGTATCTCTTGGTTTGCCTTTGACCGAGTTCTGTTTGCATAGCGGGCGGGGGGCTTGGGCCTCAAGGGCCCTGAGCCCTGGGGGCGTCCCCTTATCTCGCCTCCAACTGACAGGAAATTCGACTTTTCCAGGGTCTTGCAGCATCCATGCCCGAACCGCAAGAGCATCCACTCCAACCCAATCCACTCCGACAGCATCGCTGGTTGATGCAATGGCCGAATGATGTCCCCTCCAAGCCCAGCATAGTTGGAGGACGGACCATGACAACATTCATTCCGATCCCATGCGTTCTCCAATTACTATACTACACACTCACTACAAAGTCTATTAACACAACAGAATCCCAACGTTTGCTACGGTGGTTGTCGCTCCTTCAGATCAGGGATACCACGCCTGCCAGTGTTTCTGCCCAACGATGTCCCAAGTTACACACAGCAAGATAGAGTGCACCGACAACAGTAGTTAGTAGTAGTGGTAGCAATAGTAGTAGTCGTCGTCGTCGTACTGGTACTGGTACTGGTACTGGTACTGGTACTGGTACTGGTACTGGTACTGGTACTGGTACTGGTACTGGTACTGGTACTGGTACTGGTACTGGTCCTGGTACTGGTACTGGTACGAGTACTGGTACGAGTACGAGTACGAGCACGGGTACGACTACGAGTACGGGTACGACTACGACTACGACTACGAC